TTTCTTTCTTTCTTTCTTTCTTTCTTTCTTTCTTTCTTTCTTTCTTTCTTTCTTTCTTTCTTTCTGGATATGAGTGTTTTGCCCGCACATTTTATCTGCACACCAGAAGAGGGCATCGTGTCCTCTTCTACAGTGTTAGACGGTCGTGAGCCGCCACGTGGATGCTGGAAATTGAGCCCAGGCCTCTGAAGAACAACCAGTGCTCTTCCACTGAGCTAGCTCTCCAGCCACAAAGCCGTGTAGGCTTTTTGGTTTTTATTCTGTTTTGTTTTCTGTCTGTTTGATTGTTTGTTTTTGAGACAGGGTCTCATTATGTAGTCCTGGCTGGCCTGAAACTCACAGAGGTCCACTTGCCCCTGCCTCCTGAGGACTGGGATTAAAGGCGCATGTGTACCTGCCCTGCATTTCCTTGATTAATGACTGATGAAGGAGGAGCAGTTACTGTGGGCAACGTTGCCCGTGGGCAGGTGGTCCTGAGTTGTATAAGGAAGCAGGCTGGGCAAGCGCGCGCGCGCGTGTGTGTGTGTGTGTGTGTGTGTGTGTGTGTGCATGTGTGCGTGTGTGTGTGTGCGTGTGTGCGTGTGTGTGTGTGTGTGTGTGTGACAAGAAGCCAGTAAGCAGCACCCCTCCATGACCTGCTTTGGTTCCTGCCTCTAGGCTCCTGCCCTGTATTTAATAAACCCTTTCCTTCCCAAGTCGCCTTTGCCAAGTCTTCTATCACAGCCACAGGAACCTAAGGCAAACAGCTTCTGAGGATCTAAAGGAGGCTGGCAGATCAACGTGTTTGGGTGCCAAGCACAAGTACTTGCTGAGCCATCTCACTGTCCCCCCTTTTACAAAATAGTTTATTTTGTGTGTATGTGTATAGCAGACGCATGTGTCTGGGTGTGTGCGCCCCTTTACACACGGAGGCCAGAGGAGGGTGCCTGTTATCCGGCTCTTTCACCGAACCTGGAGTTAAGTTGGAGGCCAGCAAATCTGGGTCTCTATATCCACCAGCACTTGGTGGGAGGTGCTCGTATGGCCGGCCACTCGTGGCTGTTTACATGGGTACTGGGGACTTGAACTCAGATCCTCATGATTGCTCAGCAGGAGCTCTTGCCCCCTGAGCCACATCCTCAGCCTCCAGGTTTTCCATTACTGAGCTCATCTGTGAGAGAGGGGATATGACTGTGGCCTAAGACTAGGGTGGGATCCTCAGGTTTGTTTGTCCCCTAGAGGGACTCTCAGCCCTCAGGAAAGGTTTTGCCAGCAGTTACCGTCCATCCTGGCGGAAGGATAAAGACTAAAATCAGGCTCTGGGAGAGAACCTAGGTCGGAGTCCCCATCATATCATCACTACCGTCCTTGTCACCCCCATCATCGTTATCCATGTCCTTATCACCACTCTCAAACAGGCAATTCCAGGAAGGAACAGACTAAGCAACAGGCACATGGATAGACAGACACATGCACGCACACACACACATACGCACACACACATACACACACACACATATGAGCACACACGCACACAGATGTGTGCGTACACACGCACACACATGTGCACACACACACACACACACACACACACGCACGCGCACACGGTAGGGCTTTAGATCCATATGTTCTGACTCCAGTACCTGTGCTCACCAGGAAATCACATTGCTTTTCGTCTTCCCATAAGACACTGGCTGGCTAAGCCGGGTGGTGGTGGCACACACCTTTAATCTCAGCACTCGGGAGGCAGAGGCAGGCAGATCTCTGTGAGTTTGAGGCCAGCCTGGGCTACAAAAGCTAGTTCCAGGACAGGCTCCAAAGCTACAAAGAAACCCTGTCTTGAAAACCAAAACCAAAACCAAAAACAAAAACAAAACACTGATGCTAGATGCAGGGGTGAGCCCCCTCCTGGCTGGTCATTGTGGCTAGATGCAGGGGTGAGCCCCCTCCTGACTGCTTGCTGCAGCAGGCTTGGAAGGAAGCCTGTCCACTCTTCCTCCTTTCCTTCCGCTCTCCCTTGTGTCCTCTCTGCCTCCTCAGCAGTAACTTCTTTACCCCACAGGGAAGGTCGAGTGCTTCTCAGACTACATGACCCTGCAGGTCCCGAGGAGCCACGTGCAGGGTTTGAGACAGTGGCTGGCATGGGTCCTGCACCCGCCGGGTAAGCTATCTTCTCAGCCCTCCAGGTTCTCCAATGCGTTTCTCACACCAGGACATGGGCACTGCAGTTCCCTGGAAGGCTTTGCTGGGCTACAAGCTTGCTCCTTTCCAGGCCTGCCCTGACCTTCTCCAAGGTCACACACTCATCCCAGTTCCTCTCAATCTGGTTTCTACTTAAAATGACCTTCTACTCTTGTTCACACGCTTGTCATCAGTGCCGCCAGCAGGTCACAGGGAGCAGGCACAGCCCATGTGCTCCGTGTTGTTCCTGCAGGATTAAGGACACTGTCTCATGCTTAGGAGACTCCTAATAGACATTGCTCAGTGGACAAATGGCCCCAAACCTGGATTGAAGTGCCCATCAGGTGCTAGTATGTCCCTAAACTTAAATCACACTGTGAGGTTAATGGGACAATTTTTAAAAATGTATTTCTTAAAATTTCTGTTTATTTTATTAGTTGTGTGTGTGTGTACATGCGCTTGCGTGCAAACTAAAATTCAGTGTTTACAGAACTGTGCCACAGTTTGCATGTGGAGGTCAGAGGATGCCTTGCAGGGTTTGGTTCTCTCCTTCAACCACGTGGATCCCAGATATTGAACTCAGGTCATCAGGCTTGATGACAAGCGCCTTTACCCACTGAGCCTTCTTGCTGGCCCACGGTTCTTTCTTCTCTTTAAACCTCTATTGCACGTGTATGGGCATTTTGCTGCATGTGAGTCCGTGCACCACATACCTGCACAGCCAGTGGGAGCCAGAAGAGGGCGTAAGCCTCCTGGAACTGGGGCAGCAAATGGTTGTGGGTTACTGTGTGAATGTTGGAAGCTAAGCCAGGTCCTCTGAAGAGCAGCAGCCAGGGCTCTTAGCCACGGAGTCTACTCTCCAATCCCTGGTCCATGGTCTTACCCACTGGAACCACTATCTCATGCTTGGTGGGGGAGTTTCATACCTAAAACAGCCAAATGGAGGGCAAATTATGGCTTTCAGAAAACTTTGAGCCTTGAGCTTACCCGTTTTCCAGGAGGAAGGCCTTCTGGGAACTTCTAGAAGGAACCAGAATAGAGAGAACGTACCTGAAGCACACCGCCTGAGATGCCTTTGGTCATAGAAGCTGCAAGGAAGACACCCAAATGTTTCCTCTCCTTTGTACAATACTGAAGAAATCAAGGAGGGAAGCCTTCACATCTCAGAAAGCCTTTCCTTTCCCTCCTTCCCTCCCTCCCTCCCTACCTCCCTTCCTTCCTTTATTTTTGATTTTTCGACCTTCCTTTAGTTTTTTAAGGCAGGTTCATATGGTGTAGCCCAGGCTGCCCTATGTGGTCCAGGCTGGCCCCAGACTCATGGCAGTCCTGTTTCAGTCTTCCCAGCGTTGGAATTAGAGTTGTGAGCCATCACGCCTGGCTTAGTCTGGGAATTCTACAGTGCTGTCTGGGACTGCTGTGTCCTGAATCCTGAACTGGCCCTAGGATGGTCAGTCAGCCGGCAACGCCTCTGGAACCGGAGTGGCATTTGTGTATTAAAAGGCCACTTTTCCAGGAGAAAATGCGAGGATACATTAAGCTGTCGCCTGTTCTTTGGAAAGCCATTATTAATGGAAAACAATAGATTAATAGTTTTAAAACGCTTGTTCAATAAGTAATTTTTATGGCTCTGGATAGAGCCCATTAAACACTTCTGTGTGTTATTATAAAGAAGTTTTAAGTGTAAAATCATAAAGTCAATAATCAGGGAATTAGTCACAGCAGCCAGCCACAGGCCATTAGTTTTAGACGCTGTCAGAGACACCTGTGGCTTCGGAGGAAGCGTTGGCTTTTCCTTGACTCGGCAGCGCCAGGTGGGATGCAGAAACACTGCTGCCTGCTGCCTTCCATAAAGTTGAAGGGACAGCAAGCAGGTGCGAGCAGCGGGATGCGGGCAAATATTTACAAAGTGCAGACGTGAATGGGAAACCAAAGGGACCCGGGTCAATTTGCACATCCAGGCTGAGACACTTTATTTCCCCAGCGATCCGCCTTTCAGAGCCACAGGCTCGGCCTTGATCTCCTGCTAAAGATAGCTGTGAAGGCTGCGCGCCCTTAGAAGGAAGGCTTGTCACCCGAGAGTCCCCCCACATCCAGGCTGCCGGAGCTGTCTCCTGCAAGGGCGTATTCCTCCTCTGTCAACTATCTGGGAATGAAAGTGTGGGCTTTGGGGCGGGAGGGTGGGGGACTTGATTAAAAGAAAAAAAAAACACCTCAAAAGCAACACAAGATAATTATGGAAACAGAAGAAATCTAAAGACGATAATGAAAACTGCCTGTAATCCCTCTGCTCAGTGATATTCCTCTTTGTGTTTTCCTCATCCAATAAATGTTTACTGAGAACCCTCTCCGCGCCAGATGCAGCTTAAGGCGCTAGGGATACGGCGAAGAACAAAACAGATAAATACTCTTGGCGCCATGGGGCTGGCATTTGGGTGGAGGGCCACAAGACCACTGCCGTAGTCCTAGCCGGTTTTCAGCAGGCGAGGTGGTAATTGTGATGCAGGAAGGGGGCCTGAGAGCAGGGCGAGGTTAAGAGAGGGTGATGGAGCCTCTGCTGGCAGAGGCCTCGTTGACAAGCGGGATTGACTTAAAGACTTGAGAGTGGTGGACTGAGCCACGCAGGTAGCTAGAAGAGCAGTCCAGGTGGAAGATATCGCCAGTGAAAAGGTCCCAGGTGTACCCACGATGCGTTAGAAGTAACAGGGAGGCCAATATGGCTAAGGCAGAGGGAGAGAGAGCAGTGAGAGACTAGGTGTGTCTCACATGGGTCTCTGAATGGAGAGCACAGCCATCTGCGGAAGGCTTGAATGGGACTCTGTGGGCTGCTGTGGATGGAAGGAGCCGGAGAGGAACGAGAAGGCAGCTTCTACAGCCCAGGCTGGGCCCAGAGCTGGGAGGTGGGTGGGATGGGAGAGCCTGCATGTATATCTGGCAGGACCAACAGGCTTCCTGTCTTTGCTGTTGTCTGGCGCTCCAGAGCAGAGCGGCCATGGGCTTATGTCTGGGTGTTGGATGCTCCTGACCTGGCCTCCGCTGTTCTCCCATGGTCTTGTCTGTTTCTGCCACAGGCACCACGAGGGCCCCTAGCCACCTGGATTCTCTTCTTACCAAATGTGGTTTCCTCTTGCGTCCTGCTCAGGAGGGCAGCTTCATCTTCCGAGCTCTGTACTCGGGCTGCTTTGTGCAGAAAGAGGTGGGTTTGGGAAACTATTGCTTTGCCGTGCTGAGGTCAGTGCCCCATGTATCCTAGGATGCCAGGCAAGTGCACAACCATTGAGTTACACATCCAGCGTCTCCCTATGAACCCTAGCCTGGAACATACCACCTATGTAGACCAGACTGGCCTCGAACTCACAGAGAGCTGTCTGTCTGCTTCTGCCTCCCAAATGCTGGGACTAAAGGTGTGCACCACCAACTCCACACAACCCCCTCCCCTTTAAAAAAAAGAAAAGCAATCTTTAATTTTGAGGCAGGCTCTCTCTGCACAGGCTGGCATTGAACTCACTCGATAGCCCAAGCAGTCCTTGGCTCCTTCTGCCTCAGTCTCCTGAGTGCTGGGTTCTAGATGTGTATCCCCACGCCTGGCTTATCATCTTCTCACCAGCAGCCCCCCTGTCCCTCTCTCTTCTGTCATCACTGCCGACCTTGACAGTCCCTCACCCCCACATACCACCACGCTTCACCCCCCACTCCAGAGCTCACACTCGGGCTTCTTGCAGGGATGAAGAGGGATCCCTTGGCCGGGCATGTTGAAGCTCTGTTGCAGAAACAGCCATGTGCTGCTTGCTCTCATGTGTGGGACTTCAACTGCCTCAGCTGTACAATGGGACCAAGGGATTTCTTCCTGGGGTCGAAGGAAACAGGCTGTGAGCAGAGATTTGTTTGTTGTCAGGAATGAGCGGATAAAAACCCAAGCTGACTCTTTAAGGGTGACCTTCTGAAAGACAGAGCAGGGACTTCCCCTGTCAGGGCTGAACTGTCACAGGCCAGAATCTGCCCAGGTCCCCTGTCCCAGAGACCCTTCCGCTTGCTGCTTAGCTCCTTCATGAGACAGGCTTCTCATTGCGCACGCTGTGAGCGGAGGCTGACCTATAATTGTGGCCTATTAACTGCATGTTCTTCTTTCGTTTGAACGTGTGAATTTTGCCCGACGTCCAGAAAGCAAATTACAGGTTGGAAATCAGAATGTTTCAAAAAGGGACAAAAAGGTTGAAGCAGAGTGATCTCTGCATAATGAAGTGTCCCGTGATCACGTCCAGGCTGAGTGAACAGAGGGTCCGCTGCCACCCCTCATTCATTCAGGTAACAACCTGGAGAGGCCTGGGAGGGTTCGGGGAGAGTCCAGGAGGGCCTGGGAGGACTGGGGAGGACTGGGGAGGACAAGGGAGAGTCCGGGGAGGGTCCAGGAGGGTGGGGAGGGTCCAGAGAGGGTTGGGGAAGACCAGGGAGGGTCAGGGAGGGCTGGGGAGGGTCCAGGAGGGCTGGGGAGGACTGAGGAGAACTGGGGAGTACGAGGAAGGGTAGGGAGGGCCAGGAAGGGTCCGGGAGGTTTCCGATGCTGGTGATGGTCATCGGGGGCTGGCTTCTCTTCAAAGGCCCAGGATAGACTGTGGTTCCTGAGCTTTGGGATGTAGTCCAGCAGAAGTGAGAGCTAGGGACACAGGATAGGCCCATTCTCTGCGGACATTTAGTGCTGACTGGATATCACCTCCCTCTGGGCTTTTGGGTATTGAGTCCTGTGTTGGGATAAGGGGTGGTGACAAACGAAGTCTCTGCAGCTGTGTTCTTTAGGTCATCAAGTGAACGTCAGAACAACGGGAGTGTGTCCTCTGTGTTTTTCTCTGCGGATTAAGGAAAGTTGCTGGCAAAAAAAAAAAAAAAAGTAAAAAGACTGGGTGGTGGCACACGCCCTTAATCCCAGCACTCGGGAGGCAGAGGCAGGCAAATCTTTGTGAGCTCGAGGCTAGCCTGGTCTACAAGAGCTAGTTCCAGGACAGGTTCCAAAGCTACAGAGAAACCCTGTCTCGAAAAGCCATAAAAAAAGGAAGGAAAGTTGCTGACTTGCCATCAGTCTATCCTCTCCTCATCCTTCGCCCCCTCCCTGTTCTCTCTCTCTCTCTCTCTCTCTCTCTCTCTCTCATGCCTGCGATGAGTTTCTTGTGTGTCAGGGTTGGAAGACAGCCTCAGCAGTCAGTTCTCACCTTTCTTTCTTTGAGACAGGGCCTCTCATTGCACCTCCCTGTGCCAGGCCATCTCCCTTCTGAGGAGCCTCTGGGCGCTGCCTCCTGTCTTGCTGAGATGACCGACTCCAGCTACCGCATCTGGTTTTGTGGGGGTTCTGAGGTGCCAAACTCAGGTCCCTACCTGTTTGAGGCAAGCGTTTTATCCACAGAACAATTTCCACAACACTGGATCCTGATTTAACTTAGATCATGTCAAAGAATTACAGGCCTCAGGTTTGGGGGTGAGCAAGGGCCCAGGTTCCATCCCCGGCACCGAGGAGCGATGCACCATGCTCACTGGGAAGAACACAGGCCTCCGGCGTACTTCAGTTGTGTCCTTGCTTGGTGGCATCCTTGAGCTCCAGTTTCTCTGTGGCCCTGGACTAGAGAGAGGCTTGACTGGGACGGGGGGGGGGGTTTGCAAACTCACAGCAGAAATGAATGTGTCAGATGGAGAAAGGAGTAAGGAGTTGAACTCAAGCCGCCATTTCTTCAGCAAAGCTTATCTTCCTCTCATCCTGCCGCACCGGGCAAGGCTGTGGCTGCTGCTTTGTAAATTATTTACGTTGGCGCTAAGGATGGAACTCAGGACTTTACATCTATTAGGCAAGCGTTCTGTCCGTGAGCCGTGCCCCTGGCCCCTCACTGATAGATTCCAGGCCAGTTCTCTGCCACTGAGCCATGCCCCTGCCCCTGCTCTGCTGATGTTGACTGTCTCACTTTTACAGCAGCGTGGGTAGGAAGTGCTGTTTATGCCTCCCTGCTACAGAGTGGACAAGTGGGCAAAACGTGAGTAGCTAGGGTTCCATGGCTGCTAGTGGCAGAATGCGGTTATGAGCCAGAAGTGTATCGGGGCCCTGGCCAAGCTAGAACAGGCCCCTTCGGTGAGCTGTCACTCAACCTCTGCCTCATCTTGCTAGAAATTTCAGCTTTTAAAGGAGAAACAGGAAATCTATAGTTGCATGTGAAATTACACTTTAGAAAGTTGACTTCGAGCTGGGAAAGTAGTCCAGAGGTTGAGCGCTAGTCTAGCCATGTGTGAGGCCCTAGGCTCCTGCCTCAGCAAGGGAAAAATGCTGACTTTACTCATGGAACAGTTTTTTTTTTTTTTTTTTGAGCAGTTGTTTCCTTATTTTGAAACAAGGGTCTCATGCATCTCAGGGTGACCTTGAACTTGCTATGCAGGAGGAGATGACCTTGAATTTCTGATTATTATTATTATTTGAGACAAGGATTCTCTACGTCACAGTTCTTGCCATCCTGGAACTCACTCTGTAGACCAGGCTGACCTTGAACTCACAGAGGTACACCGTCTTCTGCCTCCCGAGTGCTGGGATTACAGGCGTGCACCACCATGGCCTGCTTGAACTTCTAATTGCCTTGCCTCCATATCCCAAGTGCTAGGATTAGAGGTGTGATGCCACACCTGGTTCATGTGGTGGCGGAGACTACTACAGCTTCACACATGCTAAGGGAACACTCTGAAACACATCCCCGGCTTCCAAAAATGTTAACTTTAACTTTGAAAGGACCGTGACACCAAACAGGATGTTGAAGTTAGAGCAGGGTTTGATGGCATACACCTGGAATCCAGAACACAGGCAGTTAAGGCAAGGGGACTGTAAGTTTGAAGTCAGCAAGTGGGTAAAGGTGCTTGCCGCTAAACCTGAGTTTGTTTCCTGGGACCCATGTAGTGGAAAGAGAGAACTGACTCCTGTGAGTTGCCCTCTGACCTGCATACATGAACCATGATACTTGCAAACACACATACACACAATTAAAAAAAAAAAAAAACAACCCAAACAGCCAAAACCCCAAGTGCTCAATTTTGTCTGATGCCACAAGGAAGAAAGAAAGGAGAGGAGAGGAGATGCTTGAAGGGAGGATGGAGAGAAAGACCTAAGGATGACAGCGACCATCCATTTGAGAAGCGTCCATGAGAAGCACATGCTGGATGCCAAGCTCTATACTGGTGCCGATGACCAAATCTGCACGGACACCAGTCTTGCCTCGGGAGGGGCTTCCAGTTCCATTCTCATCTGTCCCGGCCTTTGAAGCAAATGTGCGAAGACAGGGAGAGCTGAGCAGAGGCTGGGACCCCAGCTCTGTGCCTGCCCGCTGTGATCTTGCCTCTGGAGTTCTCTGCTATCCAACTTTAAGAGGCAGTGCCTGAGGCAGAGGGATGTTTAGGTCCCACCGTGGTCATACCAGGCAAGGTGTTATTGTTCCTGAGAGTCACAGGCCTCTTCTTAAAGATCCCCAAGTATGGCCATAGTGGGACGTGGGTTTGATAGTCTGGGGACTGGTCACGGCTCTTTACACTGGCCTGTAATTTTGGGAGCGGCCACCAGGGGACAAGGTTGCCCCTGTCATACAGCATTGGACAGAAACCGGAGCAGAGCAGAGCTAGCGGCCAGTCAAGCACCAACTTTGTCCTTTTAGACCTACTCAGATCCCCAGCATAGGTGTTGGAGCCTACAGGGCTACAGGACCCCCATTTCCCTGGGCAGAGTCTCAGAAAATTGGGCTGCATGGGAGCAATAGTCTCAGCTGCCACCTTCCTTCCCACCCCCTGCCCTCCCCCGCCCCATCTCCTCTGTTTTTCCCTCACCCAACACAGAACCTCATCACCTCATCGAATTGACTGATTCATTCCTGGTGACTTCTGCAGCCGCTTCCACGGCTGCACCTTGAACTTGCATTAAGTTTTAATTAAAGCCGTTACACCAGCCTTGCCCCTGGCTAAATGCAGCCGCGGGCACAGGGCACATAGATATTTAATACTCTGCCTCTCCCCGCTGATGGTACAGGGTGCCCAAGGGTGTACCCGAGCCATGCCCTGCTTGCAGCGATCTGCGAACTTGCTTAAGTGTGCCCACAAGCCCCGAGCGGGGAGGCTGCGCAATAACTATTCATTGCCCTGGGTTAAGTGTGCCCAGGGGCACCGGTAAACTCAATGCAGTGATTAGCGATTGCTCCCAGGGAAGACTACCCGAGGTCCTGCTGAATGTCTGCAGGCCCTAAATATAGTCGGCTCGTGGCCATTTAAAGGGCATGGCGCGTTTGGCCTGTGCACTTGATCCCACGTCCTTTCCCTTCTTTCTACAAAATGGCTCCCTCCGTGAAAGAGCACAGCCTCCAGGGCTGCCCGGTTGCTGTGGGGCTGGGGTGGAGAGACTGGAGGGAGGCTTTGGTGGCTGACCTGGGAAATGTTGAATCCCTTTCCGGTCTCCTTCCTCTCTGCTCCCTGAGCAGCACCTCCAAGCACCTCCAAGGTGAGGGAGTTACAGGCTTTCGCTTCCCTGTGGGCTGTGCTGAGCCTGCCGGCAGTGGGGTGCTGAGCTCTCTGAGGCCAAGGGCAGCAGAGTTGAGGCACTGGCAAGATTGAGGGGATGGGGCTACCTCAACTCCAGCTACTTGTCTCTGGGCCAGGAAGAATGAATTCTGCATCTCTTGGGGAAAGGGGAGGTAGCCCTATACGGGAGAGGTGTCCCGGCACGTTAGTCTTTTGAGACTCAGTGTCCTTAACTTTTATGGAATAAGGGGAGGGGGTAGCTGCTCTCTGTTGGTCTATGATTCTGTCCTGTGCCTCAGTATCTCTGCCCATGCTGGCAGCAAAGGCAAAGGGGGTGAGGGTGGGTTGAGGCAACAGGAGGTAAGAGGAGGCTGTGCCATGGCTCAGTAGCTAAAGTCACTCGTGCCTGACAGCTTGAGCTCCGTCTCCAGGACCTGAACGGCGAGAAGAGATGACATCCCTAAGTTGTCCTTGGGCCCCTACATGCACACTGTGACAGATGCATGCCCACAACATATACTCTGACATAATAAATACAGAAATAATACAATAAAGGAAGCGTAGGCAAGAGCACAGATGGGTGCAGCTGGGGCCCAGGCCGGTCCCTTCCAGGCATCATGAGGTTCAGGTGCAGTGAGGGACCAGCTGTCCAGGTGTGCCTGAGAGCATCCTTATTTTAGCCTCGAATGTCCTTCACTGGGGGAGCCCGAGATGATTGGGCGTCCTAAGCATGGCACTTGGGTGAACACACGCCTCTACCTTTGCTCCTCGGAGTCCTCAGGTAAAGCAAAGGTGATAAGAGATGGGAAACTGGGGGCGAGATGAGGTGGGAGGTATCGGCCTGGGAACCAGCCCACCACAAGCATCAGGTCATGTGCACACCCAGCCTCCCTCCGCCTGGCCAGCTGTGCTCCACACGCTACCTGCCCTGCTGGCCTGGCCCAGCAGCAGCTGAGGCGACTTTTCCCTGGGTCTGTTGACACTTGAGTCCCAGAACAGAAATGATTTTCTCGTCTTAATGAGCAAACAATCGGGCGCACGACTCTCTCGCTGGACTCCTGCTGTGGTGATTGCAGAAGCGCGCGCTCCCTCACCCTTGCTTCCTCTCTGTTCCTCGCAGGTCTCTAGGCCCTTGCCTCCAAGGATCCACGGTGGACAGGTAGGTGAGGAAAGGGCATTGTTCTTGAAGGTTCTGCTAGGCCTGGTGCTCGGGAGGCTCTGAGGCAGGAGGTTGTCGCTTCCATGGCCCTTTTGTGGAGAGTGTCCGTGGACAGTAGTAACTTTTGTGGGCCTGGGTCGTGGCAGAATGGGAACTCCCGCTGGCTCCCTCTGCACAGAGGCCTGAAGCTGTCTGGGGAAAAGAACCTGGTGGTGCCCTGCTGGGGTAGAAAGCCTCAGGGTCCTGCCATGGTAAGATTCTCTCTGAAAGGTTCCCAGTGTCAGGAGCTGACTCCTTTGCAAGGCCACCCAGTCCTGTGGTTCACGGCCGTCCTCCGTATTTCCCCTCACTCTTCTCCTCCTTCCCTTCCTCTTCTTTAGTTTTGAGGCAAAATATATGTATATATATATCTCACTATATAGCCCTGACTGGTCTGGAATTTTCTATGTAAATCAGGCTGGCCTTGAACTCACAGAGATCTGCCTGCCTCTGCCTCCAGAGTGCTGGGATTAAAAGCATTTGCTACCATGGTCCAGCTTTTCTTTTCTTTTCCTTTTCTAATAGTTTGGGGCGGGAAGTGGAATCAAACCCAGGGTGTGCTAGGCAATTAATTACTCTACTGGCTGAGCTGTGCCCCAGTCCCCAGTTTTTATTATTTGAAGATAAGATTTTACTACATAGCCCAGGCTGTTATTTAAATCATGTAAATCCCCCTGCTTCACACTCCCAAGTGTCAGGAACATAGGCACAAACCATTACACCAGGCACCCACTTTTTCTCCTGGTCTTGGTGGTTCCCACAATCCCCTGGGAAGAGCCTCCTTCACACCCCTTTGAGTCTTTGGAATCCTTGCATTCCATTTGTCTTAGAGTCTTCCCTCAGTCCTGGACTGGGCTGTGTTTCCTCCTTGAACCTCTCGCATCACTAGATGCCAATCTTTATTCACAGCCCCCATTGACCGTGTCCCATTTCAGGCCGCCAGTTATGCTGGCCTGGGTGGTACAGAGGCTGAGTGACTGGCCCTGCTCTCAGGGGCCCGGTATGTTCATCTGTGCTCTTCACAGCCCTGTAAGAGGTCGGCTCCCCTGGAATATAAGAGCATCAGCATGTTTAAGTTGCTGCTGTTCTACCCCTTGGTCAACTGATCCATTCCATGACCTTATCACCGTCTTGAGTCCCGCCCCCAAGTACCCATGATCCTTGACCCCAAATGAGCATGTCTCCTGGTCAGCTGGACTGTGACTTTGCCTTTTGTCATCAGACCCCATGGATGCTGTCCCTTCGAGGGGAGCTGGTGGCTTCTCTGGAAGACGCCAGCTTGATGGGATTAGATGTGGACATTGGTGCCACCACGGTCACCGTCCAAAGCCCACGACAAGAACTTCTTCAGAGACAAGAGGTCAGTGGTGGACAGCGGCCAGGCTGGGCTTGAGGGGGTCCCTATAGCCTGGCACCCCAGGAACACTTTCTCATCCTGCCAATTCACGTGTCCACCTGTGAGACTGGACAGATTTAGGCAGGCGGCTTCGAAAATTGGGCCCCATTAGCGTAAAGTGCTCTGCTCGGCAGATGAGGGGCTCCGGCAATCATGTATTCAGCGCGTCCTGATCATGGTGGCAGGATCATAATTACCATCTCTTTAAATAGCCCAAAGTTGCCGTGTAAGAGAAGACGGCTCACATGACATTTGCTCCGAGCTTGCTTCCTGCTAAAAATATCCTGGCTAAATAATATTTCCTGGTTGTGCTGGAGCAACAGGCCCTGGCCGGGGCCCTGACTCTTGGGGCTTTGTTCAGAGATGAGAAGAAAGGGTGGAGTAGAGAGGGTAGGCCCTTAAGGAGGGAGCATGCCTCTAGAAAGAACAGTGGCCACAGGGGGGACCTTCTGCTTCCCCAGGTATGGAACACTTCCTTGGAGCTCCTGCCACTCTGGCTGGTGAGCGGTTCCTATGCCTACTCCCTCAAGGCTGCGTGCCCACTGGGTAAGATCCAGAAGTGCCCCTGATGCCCATCGTTGATTTTACACTATCTGTCTGTACCTCCTGTTTTCTCCCTTCTACCAAACACCTTGTCCTCACTGCCCCATTCTGCCGCCTCTCTTCTTAGCAGAGTGTGAAGTGTGACTATGGATGTGGGAGCGGTCTGAGCGGAGTGTGAAGTGTGACTATGGACCTGGGAGCAGTCTGAATGGCATGTGGTGTGACTATGGACGTGG